AGAAAGGGATGACAATAACATCAAAGTCAAATCTTCATTTTCAAATTTCACATCTAAATTTAACAGGTCTGCTACTAACTGATTAAACATAGTGATGTGTTCATTCATAGTAATACCTGGTTAGTAATCGAATCGAAATAATCTCTTCTTCATAAGGAGTTTATTCTGACCACTCTTCTTCAGAAATTTCTTCTCCAATACCCTCCACAATTTTCATGCAGATGTCTCATTTTTTAAAATATACTTTTCCTCTCTGGACAAACATGATCGAATAGTTTCGCATGCAAACCGATTTATGGTACTCCACTCCTTCTCTTCTATGTTATCTGATTTCTTTTCTTCAATGCAATGTCAAGACCCTGTTGGAAAAGGGAGTCTATGACCTCGCCTTGCCACATGCCGAAATGGCCAGTACCATCAAATATCTCCACCGCCAGTTTCGAACTTGACATTGGAGTTCTCGATCATGTAGACGAGGAAGCCGATGCCCCAGATGTAATTCTTGACGTGAAATTGTTTGATGCCATTACAGATTCAAATAATAGTATTCAATATAAAAATTACAAACATGCCAACGGACAAACCTTCAGCTCTGATACCACTTGTTGGGGAAACCGAGTAATTTTTCACTCAAAAATTCAACTAGTGATTTAAATCGATTCAGTAATGCTTAGGAAAGATCGTTAAAACAATCTCCTTAAACAAAATTACCATTCCAAGTAAATTCTTAGGAAAGACTGGAGGGGTCACAAGCGATCCCACTTAAAATCCAGTCTTCTAGACAGAATTTACATGCACAGTGTATTATCACAACTAGACCCATGTATACATAAATAATATGTACACACGAATAAGAAAATACACCCAAATGAACCGTATAAAACACTACAAATAAATCCGACAAATATATTGAATACTATACTACCATTGAAAAGAAACTACTAAATAAATGTGGAATAAATAAAAGAGAAAAGGAAAGAACGCACCCAAAAATTGATAACGGAGTTCGGCCAATTTTGCTTTATCTCTGAGCACCACTCAAGCGACCCGCTATTATAAATTTCGAGAGAAGAAAGAATTACAAAAGAATTATAAAATTCTTTTTGATGTAATTCTTTTATTGGTGTTTGGTACAATTAATTGGGAAGGCTTGAGAGCTTATTTATAACTCTCAAATCCTTCTCCAATTTATAAACTCATTGATGTGGGATGAAGATTTCTGCCACTAAAGTCCACAATTGTGAGCTGTGAAAAATTTGTCAAAGTCCACAATTGTGGCTTTGAATTCAACATAACTTTCTTCATAATAATTCCTTTCTCGAACCCAGTTTTATTTGTTTTGCTGCTCAAGTATGACTCATCCCGTCATTCTGGAGCTTCTGTGATGAATTTTGCACACGCGACGGCGGCGTTTGCATGTTATTTGACGTGAGAATTCTATGCAGTCAGATAGAAGTCGTGATCTTGTCAAACCCACAAGTTAAAAGTCGGGTTTACTCATCCATGCAATTCCTAGGAAATAACGCGTTTTGGTTCACATAATTTTTGTTTGTTTTTCCTTTTCAAAGTAGTAAGATGTGACCTAGTAATGGTACATCTCACTCTCCCGATGGATTGGAATTGTATGATGATTATTATGGTAATGTAAGTCTTGAGTGATATTATTAAAAAATGGAACGTCAACAGTTTTTAAGTGTTTCGTGCAAGGGAAAAAAAATCTATACACATGAACTTGTTTGAATTTTTATTTTTGAATTTTTGGCTAACAATTTTTGAAATATACTCTATACACATTTTCTAATCGTCTTTTATATTTTACATACATTATATCATTACAGTGTTTTTTCTTATAGAAACTTCTAAAAGATACAATCCAAACGGGATATAATTTGTATGCATTTGTTTCCCAAGAAAACAACTTTTACAGAGCAGCTTTTTTTTTTTCTACACCTTTGCTCATTTTGGTGGGTAGTACTGATAGCAAATTTCTCTGTGATTATTGAAAAAATTGAAGTCAGCAACCAGTAACTCCCCTAAAACAATGTTGGTAGACCGGAGTAGCAGCAAATTATTTTTGTGGAGTGTAATGGATCAAAGATGTAAAAATTATTTGATAATCCCATATCTGCAAAAGTATTAGCCATATAAGCATAAAGTTCTTAATTTGAATCTCAAATCATCTTCTTTTACTCTACAATCTCTCTTGAATCTAAAAAGAGCATTATAAGGTGATTTTTTTTAGGGCATGGTGTAGCTGACGCAAATTGATGTGTTTAAACTTTCAAAGTGATATTTTTTTAATCCACCATTCGAGAATGATGCCTTGGACTTTTCAAAGTGCAATATCTACGAATCGAAAGTAGACGTAACAAAGTCTCTCTCTTCTTTTCTTTTCTTTTCTTTTGATGGACACTTATCGTCAAAAACGTAGAATGTTTATTTGGCTGGGAGTGCTTCTTATTATTTATTAACAAGGTGGGGTTACTCATCAAATTGAACAAAAAACTAGGTAGCAATTGGATTTGGACAAAAAAAACGGGGTTTGGGCAAAGCATATTTGAGGTTTCGATCTGATTGTATGATTTTTGAATATTTTATCTGATCTGGTAAAAATTAGCATTATTTTGTTGTCTATATGAATTTTGTTCATATATGTCTATTCAATATATAAGTACACCCATGTATATAATCCCAAAAAAAAAAAGTACACCCATGTATATAAGCTTGCACCACATCTTGAAAGAAATAAAATAACAATATCATTTTTAGCAAAATTAATTTCGTAGGAATTCATATTTCTTGCGCATAAACCCCTCGATTGGATGACCGAATAATTACATGTGTTTGTCCTCCATTACATCAAATCAATATTTTGTGATCCGTCCCTAGCTCTAATGCATCTCTGTGGTTTTGAATATTTTGGATGTTTTTTGATCTATTATTTGGATATTTTATTAGCTTTTAGGTGTTTTTTGGAATGTTTTTACTAGAAATACTGTAAATGTGTGTTTTTCAATACAAGGCAATGAAATTGTTAATGTGTGATTATGTCATCCCAAAATAAAACACATTTAAACACATTTTTTTGCCTTTTACACTTAAACTACTAGTAATACTTTGATTGTCAACATCATAACATAATATTAGTGTGATTTTTATTTTCTTTAACTATTCTTAATTTAAAAAAAAAACTTAATATAATTCACAGTCAAGGATCTAACATATTTAGAACTTCTTTGTTTTCAAGCTTTTACATGATTTATAGCTCAAAATCTCACAGATAATGAAGGGTACTATCATATTTTAACAAAATTATTGTATACTCATAATATTATTACACCAATATCATAAGGATGATAGTACTTTTTGTGTACAACTAATGATTGGATGTATGACATGTATATTTTTTTCTTATTGGTGTTTTCTATATTCTTTGATGAATCATTTCAGACTCATGCAATCCCTATTTTTCTTTCTTTCTATCAATCATAGGGTGTATCTCATCTCTGCATTTCAACTAAAGAAAGATAAATCGTTAATTACTCTCAAATTATGAATTAGAAGAAATTCTTAAATTACACTTGAATCTCTTCTAACTTTTGAGTTTTTCTTTTATCATACCCCTAATGCTTAGAACCCATTTGAAATTTTTGCAAATTTTGTAGAAAAAAAATACCATTATAGTACCTTTTCATTATGAATGCATTTGAGGTAAAAAAAAAAGAAGTTATTGGAAAATGTATTAAGAAAATATCCCTAAAAAATTGGAAAAAAAATTACCAACGAGACCAGCAATCCAAACAAGGCTTTAGATTTCTTTGGTTGGTGGGAGTTTCAAAAACTTAGTAAATTAAATTCTATGTTGAGATTCATTTTTTATTCAGATAGGAGCAAGATGATTGCTCAAAGATTTCTCAGTCCACGAAGAGTACCATTTTGGAAGATTACATCCATCTCAGATGCCCAATTGTTTGACCAAATAATCATCTACCTTTAGTACTTACTCCGGTACCATCTTCATAAGTCCTTGCACTTGAGGAACTTACAAAATGTTTAATGGAACTCTTCTCTTTTCCAATTTCTGATTTGGCTAAATATGAAATTTACTTCTTCTCATCTCCATAGCCAATTTTATAGAGTATTTTGTTTTTATTTTATAATCTCTTGTTTTCCAATTTGGTCCATTAAAAACAATTGATCTTCTATATCCATAAATTAGGTGATTTGAGGATTGTGGTGCTAGTCTAACCTTTTCCTTCTTCTTGTCCTCTTGTTCGACTCTCCCCAACACAAAATCGAGTAAAAGGACTCATCTATCGCAATAGCACCACTTTTATTCGGTATCAACATCAATATTGTCAACAAATTTATACTGTTGCTAATCAAAAATCTTAGATTCAAAATAGTTGGCCGATGAAGTGCAATGCTTGAATGATGAAGGAATTTGTGCATTATGGAGATAAAGCTGCATATTATCAAGTTATACTGGAGAGTGAGTGATTATATTAATTGTTACCATATATAACTAAAAGATAAAATATATTTCCTGCACAAGTATTAAGTGTATGTACCGTACCTTGCACATCATACACATTGGTTGTCAAATGACTCAAATTAAGTGAAAAAAACTGTAGAGGCTACATAGATGCTTGGTCGACTAGCTAGAAAATTGAAGTATGAAACTGAAAGATAAGATGAGAATAATTTTTTTGGCCCCATAACGAGAATATTCTTGCCTCGCCCCAGAATAGAGCCAAGACTAGAGACAATTGCTGAGACATAGGATTAGGTACAACAATGTAAATATTCGATTAGCTAGGTAAGACTTGGACAAAAAAAAAAGAAAAGAAATATTGGATTGGATTGTGTAAAATGCCAAGGAATGTCAGTGAACCTTCCAAGCAGGTTCTTAGCTAGGGCGATTAAGTATAAGTTCTACAAGTGTAATTGGTTTATAAATATGTGGTGAAAATTTGCTGAATTAAGTTTCTTAGCAAGTTATGGAGCAGATCCTGGATAAGGCAGCTCAATCAGGAGACATAAACGCCTTGTATGAATCACTCCGGCAGGATCCAACCCTTTTGGATAAATATGATGAGCCATCATTTGTGGATACGCCTGCACACATAGCAGCAGCTGCTGGCTCCACCCACTTTGCCATTGAAATCCTAAGGTTAAAGCCATCATTCCGCACGAAGCTCAACCCGGACGGGTATAGTCCACTGGACTTGGCACTTCGAAGAGGAAAAAATAGAACAGTAAAATGGCTCATTAAGCATGATCCTGAGCTCGTTCGCACCAAAGGAAGAGAGGGGTTTACGCCTTTGCACTATGTAGCTGAAGTGGGTGATGCTGAGCTTTTGGCCGATCTTCTACTGGCTTGCCCAGAATCCATTCAAGATTTGACAATTCGAGGAGAAACGGCTGTTCATATTGCTATGAGAAATATAAATGTCAGGGCTTTGCAGGTGCTTTTAGGTTGGCGCAAGAGAAATATAAATAAATATGGAAAATATGCAAATGTCTTTTGACCTTTTTGCATATTCTTATCGTTTATCATCTTAACTACAAATCCTTTCATACTTTGCCGTGACAAAATGAGGACAGATCTAAGACACTGCAGCACAAACTTGATCCATTTTAAAATTGCCTTAGGGCAAATTACATTTTACCCCCATGGTTTAGTGTTTTTATACATAACCCCCTATGGTTTCAAAATCTATACATAATCCCCTCATGATTTGGATTAAAATGTCAAAATAACAGAAATGATCATAAGTAACGAAACCCTTAAAAATGTTGAAATTACCCTTGTTTAAAAATTAAAATGACTGAAGTTAAAATATATAAATATAATATACATGACAAACTAACCGTGTATGATTTTATATGTTACCATATAACTCCCTTATGGTTTAATGTTTTATCATATAACTCTCTTATGATTTTCAAAATATACACATAATCCCCTTGTGGTTAATAAATAATTTTCAACTTTACATAGGAGTATTTTTTATATTTTAGTTGACTCCATTACGGATTGCAAATTTCGTTAGTTTGACACTTTAATCCAAACCATGAGGAGGTTATGTATAGATTTTGAAACCATATGAGAGTTATGTATAAAAACACTAAACCACAGGAGGGTAAAGTGTAATTTGCCCTTTGGCTTGACATCCAACCTAAGCTCTACTAGTCTACCTTGCCCTTTTTTTTTTTTTTGTCAAAAAAAAGGACCTGGTCCCACTTCAGGCCCCAACCCTTATTTGGGTTGTTGGGTTATTCCCCATTTTTGTTACCTTGCCCTTCTTAAGTAACTTTAGTTCTCATTTTTTGGTGGCCAGTCTGGTCGAAGTGGCGCAGGTGGAATGTACTTGGAGGGATTTGTGTCACTTTAGACTAAAAGATATATGAATTTTGCAGTTTTATAGCTTAAATTTTGGTTGATGACCACAAAAGGGCGTAATAATATTTGGTAAGATCACAAGGCATTGTATGTTTCGTATAAGGCACGATGTGTAAGCTTCCTATATGCAATTTCTATAATAAGCTTCAGATCAACTAATTAATCTGCTGGCTATTTGATTAAATTCTTGGTCATTTCTTCAGGTTGTAAAGTTCCTGATCAACGAAGTGAGAATAAATGAACAGAACTTAGAAGGATTAACATGCCTCGATACTTTTGTGGGACTCGCAATCACAGGAAATGAGAGAATTGCTAAAGCTTTACGCTGTGCAGGTGCTAAAAGATCGTCCTCTCTACGTCCAGCTAAAACTTTCACTGATATTTTGAGTTCAAAGGAACCATTCACCAGAAAAGTTTTCAGGCAAATGGTTGAACTTGATGCTAGTATAGATGGCTTGTCAAGTGAGATGCGAAATGCCCTTCTTGTGGTAGCTGTGTTATTTCTGACAGCTGCCTATGAAGCTGTACTAACCCCTCCGGGTGGAACTTCATCAGGAGGTGATAGCAATTCATTTTCGAACCAGCCTTGCAATATTTCTTCTAGTTCAAGTTTTGCCAGTATCAGTACACCTGAAGACACCAATAACACCAGAGGAACAGCGCAAATGGGAGGAATAAACTTCGCAATTTTTGTTTACTTGAACACAATAATCTTTGCAGCCTCCCTTACGGGTCACATATGTACTTCAAAATCTACACCTTTCTTCTAACTGAATCCCTTCACAACCAACCTTGTCTTGTACTTTGGCTGTGAATTGTGCTCTTGAATTTTCAACCTATAGGCCCATTCATTTTTAAGTGTTTTCTTACCCTTAGACAGTTTCACCATGTTGTAGGTATGATGCTCATGCAAAGATATCATCTTCTCTTGCATAGTTTGCAACCAGTTTTTTTCCTCTCATGCATTAGAGTCTTACTGTAGGACTCCGATTCCCCTCCATCTATCAGCAACATATATTCATTAGGATTATATCTGCTAAAAAATCTCTTTTCTTTGATAGATCTCCTAGGCTCATCTTATGGTGGTGATGGTGGTAGAGTTGGCAGTATTCCTTACTCAAATTCATCAGTAGCGGTATCATTACCATCAATATCCTCTCTCTACTTTGTCTCAGCTCCCCTATAATCAAAATCAACGCATACTAGAATTGGATATGGATCTGAACTAGCAAGAATGTCATCTAAGAATCTTGACTTGTTGTCTGATAGGGCGTAGATTGTAGATAGATAGTTAGGTCTACGACGAAATAATTATACCCTTTTCGCGGCTGTAATGGTATAGAGTTGAGTAATTTGGTGTTATTTTGATGGCGCAGGAGAATGAAGTAACTTTGATCGGAAATGGCTAAGAAAGGAGCACTTTGAGAATTTAGAGACCAACTCCGGCATCGCTGTTTATGCCGGTGTTGTCACCTATCTTCATCGAGTTATGTCGCGCGCACTTGTTTTAAAGCTAAAGGAGATCTAATCTAAGGGGATTCACTTGTAACCTTCAAAGGCTATATATAGGGGTTATTTAGGATGTTTAGGGGGTTAGTAACTTTAGTTTCAGCCTAGAAACACTTTTATTCTCTGGAGAAGTCAAGCATAAAAAATCAAATCAAGGAGCATGCGAGCGATGAATCGAAGCCATATCTGAGAAGTTCCCTGGCTTCTATTCTCCCTTTTGTATTAACTCTTTGGACTTGGGTTTTTAATCTTTTCATTATGTCAAACTAAATACTTTCTAGGGTTAGGGTTTATGAAAGAATTTTGATTGATTTTTCTAGTTAAATTCTTACCGTGTACTATGATTAATTTATCTTGTTCTTAATGTGTTTATACTTGATCACTATGAACATGAATGTTGGGTGTGTGTCAAATTGAGAAAGAAGATACAATCGTGCACTAAATAGATAAACACATATAAACTAGTCACTATCACTGAAAATCTTAACAGATTTAATTGAACTCTTATGACCATCGAGAGAGGCATAGGATTTAATTATACACACTTTAGATGCATCGAGAGGTAGTCTAAAATATATTCGTGTGATGCATTTATAACCTAATAAGAAAATACCTGGAAAATTAATTCAAGATTCTGATACCCTAAACTTGTACTCGTTGACTTTCTCCCTTTTAACTAAGTTGATTGTTATCTGCATTACATCAAAATTGTCTTCTAAGTCCGTCACTCTTATAACTTCTTCTGTTACGATAATTAAAGAAGAAAATTAACTCGTCCCTTGCATTCAACCCCTGAAATACTCCAGGGGATTTAATACTATGATCGATCCTGTATACTTGCAAGAAATTGTTGATCATTATCTTTATCAATGTTCTCAATGGATTGATTTTCAAGCAAAACATCTCTGTTTCTGATTACTTTCTTTTCAATAGGGTCATACAGTGTATAACCAAAATCTTCATGCCCATAATTCAAGAAAATAACTATCTTGACTTCACATCAATTTTGACTTCTCATCTTTGAGAATATGAACATATGTCCGATAATTAAAAGGTCTCAAATGTTTAAAGGACATATCTTTTCCACTTCATACTTTCTTTGGGATATTACCATCCAAAGGAACTGATGGAGAAAGATTAATCAAATTAACTATAGTCCTTATTGCCTCACTCCAAAAGGATTTTGGCAATTTAGCATTGGAGAGCATACATCTAACCCGCTCAGTGATAGATCTATTCATCCTCTCTGCTACTCTATTCTCTTAAAGAGTTTTTGGTACTATCTTTTCTAGTCTGATCCCATGGAACTTGCAGTAACTTTCAAATGGTCCCCTGTACTCACCACTATTGTCAGCACGAATGCACTTTAATTACTTGCCAGTTTCTCTTTCAACTTTCTTATGAAATTCTTTGAACATATCATAAACCTAGTCTTTTGATTTCAAAACAAAACACTAAACTTAATCAATAAAAATTACAAAGTAAATGGCATCACCAAGAGACCTATCTTTCATGTAGCAAACATTAGTGTATACCAACTCTAATAAATTCAATTTTCTAGATGAAGAAAGATTTTGAAATGCTACTCTATGTTGTTTCCCATAAATACAATTAACACAAGATTTAAGTGTATTACCTCTAACTTCAGGTAGGAGTTGCTTGCGAACAAATGTCTAAATCTTCTTTTGACTCATGTGCCCAAGTCGCATATACCAAAGGTCATTGAAGGAATCACGAACTGCATTCACTTCTTCCTTCCCTAACCTGGCTTGCATCAAGCAGATGGTACTCAATTTCTTTCCTCTGACAACAGATTTTCTTTGCTGAGGTTTCATTTGCCTTCACCTTGCGAACTATGGTAGCCCTCATCATCAAACTTTCCTGTAGAAACAAGATTAAGGCGAATATCAGAAATATGTTGAGTATTTCTCAAACCCAGATGGCGCTCGGTATCTATGTCCATATATATGTCTCACATGACAATAATTTTGCATGAGATCTTATTTTTCATTCTAACATAGCCAAAGTTTCCTTCGATGTAGGTTGAGAAGAAATGCCTGTGAGAAATAATATGGTAGGATGCACCCAAATCAACTATCCAATCACTATCATGATTGGTAATATTCACATCACCATCATCACAAAACACAAACATGTCATCATGAGCTGCTACAACTACTGTAGTCTTTTCATCATCTTTTTCTTTCGCCTTACCTTTGCCCTTTTTCTCAGTTTGTTCCCATTTTGAAATTCTATACTCCTTCATCTAATGTCCCATCTTTTTGCAATAAAAGCATGCATCATTTTTTCGCGACTCAAACCTGCCTTTGAATTTGTCATTCTTGTTGTAGGATCCTCTACTTTTGTTTCTCCACCTTCCTTCTTTCTTTTCTGTTACCAGGGTTTGAAATTCATTCACAATTCTTTATTCTTTCCTTCGAAGTTCTTCATTCAGCACAACCTCTTTTGCTATATCCATAATCAACACACCATTCAGAACTGAATTATTGATAGAAACCACCATTGTCTCCCAACTATCCGGCAGTGAACTGAGCAATTGCAAAGCCTGCATCTCATCATCTAGATTCAAGTTCAACGTACCTGTTTGGTTTATCAAGTCTTGCAAATTACTTAAATGTTCAGTTATATCTGCACCATCTTTATAATCTCATTTGAATAATCTGCTTCAGACAAGAGGTTTTATTTAAACCGATCTTTCTTCATACATACTTTCTAATTTTTTTTTCAAAATACATCATCTCTAATTTCATTAGCAAAATATTGAAAAATATTCTAACCAATCCACTTTCTAACATTACTAATAGTTTTTCTATGCATAATAGCCCACTTTTCATCACTCATATCATTTGGTCAACCCTTATCCCCTAGAGCAGGTTTAAGCAAATCTATACAATACAAGTATTCTTTCATTTTAGATTTTTAAATCGAATAATTAGTTGTATTCAATTTTATTGTACAACTACTATTCGAATTTGATAAGTGCATAGTTTACGTGCTTTTAGTGTGTTTTATTAGTTAGTTTTGGTGTGTTTTAATTAGTTTTATAGCTAATAAACTAAGATTCTAGTGAAAATATGTATTTTATGGTTTAAAGTGTGAAAATTGTATTTCTATGAACTTTTACGGCAAAAACTTCATGTTTTTGTAGGTTTAAGGATTCAATAAACAAAAGAAGTAAATTGAGAAGAGAATTGGATGATTGATGATATTTTGAAGTGATAAAAAGAGAATATGAAGTGCAAGAGATGAAATGCAATCAAGTTCTAAAGAAAAGGAGTTTCACAGCTTTGACACCTTGTGATATTTTGGCAATATCTTGAGCGACAATGATCGGATTGAGGTGATTCTTATACCATTTTGAAGCCAAGAGATAGATCTACATTTGGTATGAAGGCATTGAAGTCCATTTTGGTGGTTTTCATAGTCAAAAGGTCGAAATACTGAAGTACATTTTCTATGGTCGAAGCTGGAACAAGTTTTTGACCAGTCAAGGGTAATTTGATCATTTCTCAGTCCACGGAGCTCTAAATTAGGTGATTCGTGATGCATTGAAAAGCTAACTCAAATAGCTACAACTTTCATGTTTTACACAAGAGCTAGTTCAGCCTCTAACATCGAGAAAATATCAGTTGAAATGGATAAAAAACAGAGCAAGTGATCCGAACCCGGATCCAATAGGATCCGAGCCCTCGTCTGATCTTCTGGACAAGTGGATCCGAGACCAGAGGATCCGAGCTCGGATCCACTATAGTAGGCCTCGGATCCCAATGAACAGTGAAGGAAAAAATGAAGAAAAATGCGATCCGAGGGGTATTTTGATCAATCCGAGCTCGGATCTTGCCCTCGGATCCCCAATTTCGGCTCTGCAACTTGTGCTCTATTCACACAAGCTTTTTGACCAATTTATCTGCAAGAAATCCGGTTGGAACTGAGCAAGCAAGTATAGAGAATTCAAGAAGCATCTTTTGGTGAGTCAAAGAAGCAATTACATCAACTTTAACAACTCACCATGAGCTTGAATTCCTCTATAAATAGCAGCCTTGGAGGAACATTTTCACAACTTTGGAAGGCTAGAGAAACTCACTAAAAATGTAGTCTTCACTAGTTTTTCTTAGTTCATTAGTATAGTATAGGTAGTGTAGTTTATCCATCTTGTGTTTGTAGCTAGATTTGGATGAAGATTGAGGAGCAAAGATGGAGAGGTTGATCTCATGTGACAAGGGTGATATCTCTTCTACTACTTTCTCTCTTGTATTAGATTTCATGTTTAGCTATAATACAAGTTTGGATTTGTGTTTTTAACATGTTTAGTTAAAGTTTATGCCTAGAGTTATGGTTGAACTTGCTATATCTTGTTTTTGATGTTTACTTGGTTATTTGATGGTATTATTTTGAACAAATTATTTATCACTTTTGCTTTTCTAATCATGATTAACCGGCCATTAATTGTGATTATCTAAAGGTGTTAAGATTGCAATGAGAATTGAAATTTAACACTAGTTCAAGGAAGTGATAAACCTAGGGGGTACACTTACGAGAGTAGAGATGCACCTATGTGGCTTTAGTGACTTGTTCATGTAATTTCATAGAAGAAATGAACTTGTAGTTAATTTCATAACCACGAGAGTAGGTATGGTTTAGCTACAAGTATAGTTGATTCACTACGAGAGTAGGTTTCACATACATTAGGAAATTACGCCATAACTAGCCAAGATAATAGCACTCACTTAACCAGTAATCTCATTTGCAAGAGTAGTAAGGAATTCCATATCTCTAGGAGCTTTCTAGTGCTAATTTTGATTTCTTTTATGTTTATGGTAGTCTCGATAATAAAGGAGTTCGAAAAACACCGGTAATTGCAATTTTCTATGTGAGATCGACCCTTAATACCCTATACTCGCTCACGATTCGTATACTTACGATAAATCGCGTGTAGGGTATTTAGGAATTATAAATGTAAAACTTGATTGTGGATGAGCTAATTGATATATGTATACCCCGTGCACGTCAGAATTATCGATTTTAACCAGTACAAATGAGCAGTCCGACCTGACTGCTTTAATACTACTATGTTGGGAAAGGGGTACCAGTACAGACACACAATATCAAAGTTAATTCAGGACAAATTACTCTTTTCTCAAGCACCAGTTAAAATAGGAACAAATCAAATTACCAAACAACGATATCAACAACAATAATAAAATACAGAAAAATAAAAGGCACAAGTCACCAAAATTTTTAACATGAAAAATTCAAATTGAAAAAAAATCACAGAATTTAGTCTAGTTATGTGACAGCCCCACTTTCCCCTAAGGCGTACCCTAAGGGTTAGCGAACTGCCTGCCTAACTCTCGTCAAAACTACTAACCCGAAAACATGATTTCCAAACCATACGGTACATAAGAATTTCGATTAAACACTCCAACGAAAAATGTAAAGAACCGAGGCCACGTCAGAATCCAATCAAGATTTTCTTTTCTTTCCTTGTTCAAGCTCCGCACTCACCCGGCTCTCCCACAAATACAAGAAAAGTTCACATAACCATAGAAACATGCATTCTCAAATAATATACGTAACCAGACGCTTGCATAAATATATACATTGGAGTCTTTACAAGCCAAAATATTATACTTGATTAAAATACAATTAGGGTTTACTATTACAGAGGAACTTAATAAAAGAATATCTATAACTAACTCTACTCTTTTCTCCAAAATTACGGTCCCAAAATATTGTCCCTTGTAAGGAAAACAAAGATAACGGGAATGAGTTTTCGCCCAATGAGGTACCGACAGGTCAAGCAGTCAAATATCACGAAAGTACACTTGTAATCAATCAACTAAAGACATCAAAGAAAAATGAAGGAACACCACAGTTAAACCGGAAGTAAAAGGATACGGATGGCTCTCAAGTGCCAATTTCCTCTTTCACATTACTTGGTTCAAACCCGTTGACCCTCTGTCAACGTTAAAGAAATGATCATCACCGTAGACCCCACTTTACACCAAGTACCGTCCACCAAACATCCCCCTTACCGGGCCCGAATGCCTCAAGCAAAAACAGGGATGGTAATACTCGAATATACCGATTAGTCGAGAAGATAACACTCCACTCGGCAAAACAGGAGACACAGGATTCGTTACCTAATCGACCAGGCCCTTGCTGGCTCGATTCGAGTGACTAGCCATAGGGTTTGAACTTAGAAGTCACAGCAAGGTCGTTGGATACAAGCCTCCAAACAACATCAAATCATGCACAAGTAACATATTCAAATGTATACAGTAACCAGTCAAACAGGCAAGTGTGATAAAGTACACTCTCGTTTCATCCAAAATAAACAGAAGTCACAGTTATTCAAGTCACAAATTGCAAGTACAAATAAACCAGTTAAGTAACAAGTCATGCGAGTGGTACACTCACCAGTTCAAGCAAAAAGTAACTTCAAAAGTTTCCTCGCGAAGTACGCCCTTGATCACCGACACGTCCTAGAACAACCAAGGAAAAATAATTAAGACTCGACTCTAAAATCTAGTGAATGGAATTCATAAGAGAGACTCGATTATGAGTCGTATGCCTATCCAAATGAACTACTAATGCAAGGTAAAAATGTGGCTTTGGAGTGCAAAAGGTAGCAGTTGGTCCTAACGACATGAACAACCCCAAAACCCTTCATTTCTACCCAAAATCAACCCAAACTCGAAGGAACCAAATGGCCTCAAAATTTGGACAGCACGTCCCCTTAAATTCCTTTACTTTGCCATCCTACAATCAATCACCAATCTCATCTCAAATCAACCACAATTGCAAACCACAAAACATAAGCTATCAACTACATTTAATTAGGGCCACAACACCCTTCAAATATAACCAAATGAAAGCTTCAAAAACCAACCACAATCAAGCTCAAATTGGAAACCCTAAACTGAAATTTATACACACAAGTTGGAAATTTCTTTAGGCAAAATAAACTAGCACATAAACTCTAGATATTTCACAAGTCAAAGCTAGTAAATCATGGCCAACCCTTAAACTTCGTATATGGGCAGAAAATTCACCAATAAAACTGAAAATCTACATATCACCACCTCAAATCATGAAATTTCTCACAAAACTACACATTTAGCAACTCTAAACCACTAATATGCAATTATTAGAAGCAAAGAGGGATTTCTTGGCAAGTTACCTTAGAACAACAAGAAAGGTGGTAGTTTAGTGTTTTTCCCTCCAAAATCACACCACCAACACCTCTACTCTTCCTTAGTTAGCACTTTGTATGGAGTAATTTGCAATTTTGATGGTTGGAACTCAAGATTGTAGCAAAAAATTGAAAGACAAGATGAAGTTTCTCTCCCTTCCTCTCCCTCAAAGGTTCGGCCAAGCAAGACAAGAAAATGAAGAGATTTTGGTCAAAATTTGATTTTAGGAAAGTTAAAAAACCTTGGTCAAAGTCCAACTTCTAATTATGTCGCGACAAATGGCACTTTAAGGTTTAACCTCATCCTCTTGTCTTCCAATGGTTAATCTATCTAGTTAACCTCTAATTATCTCCTAACACCTTATAAAATAATATTCCTTTATTCAAAACTTCACCTAGTCGTCAAAAAGTTATCACACTTACCGCACTAGCGGGTCCCACGTCCATAATACGCTACTAACATAATATGAACTAACTTATTCTAGAAAAATGATTTAAAAACGTGCCTCACTTATAAAAATATCTAGAAAATTAATATAATAAAGGAAAGTATAGAAAATGTATGCAAGGAAATAAAATAATTAATATAAAATAAGAAAATTTTCGAGTTCTTACAAGTTAAAAAAATCTTCACTATCACAGTAATGGAAATATACAGGTTTACCCGAAATATCCGAATAATAACAACATCACCAATATTAACCAAGTGAAATTACTAAAAAATCATGCTCAAAAACTATAACTGTCAAAGAAGTGAGTTTGAAAGGGTGTTATCAAATGAAGAGAAAATTCAAACCAGTAGCAGAGTAGAGCTTGATGAGAGGATCGCATGAGTAAAATTTTGTCTCAATCGAATTTCAAATTACCATCCAATCAAGACTTTGAAATTTTTCTCTCTAGCTTCTTTTGTCCTAATTCACTTTTTCTCTCTCTTCATTTCTTTTTTGGGTTGGTGGCTGGAACGATACTTTTTTCTTGTTTCTTAGAAAGAGACCCGCGGTTGAATTTTAAATCATGATGACTTGGTTACCTACTTGATTTGGTCAAAGTTGACCAAAGTAATTTAATGTGTGGGCCTAAGTAGTAACTTAACCCACCAAATGGGATGGACCACAAGTCCAACACGTATAAGTTGTACAAGAATATATAATAGAGAAGGATTTTCTTGCTTTGTATGTATATGGTGAAAAATTGCTGAATTAAGTCTCATTGCAAGTTATGGAGCAGATATTGGCCGAGGCTGCACAATCAGGAGACATAAACGCCTTATATGAATCACTCCAAAGGGATCCAATCCTTTTGGATAAATATGATGAGCCATCATTTGTGGATACACCTGCACACATAGCAGCAGCTGCTGGCTCCACCCACTTTGCCATTGAAGTCCTAAGCTTAAAGCTCTCTTTCAGCACGAAGCTCAACTCGGACGGGTACAGTCCACTGGACTTGGCACTGAGACATGGAAAAACCCAAACAGTTAAACGGCTCATTAAGCACGATCCTCAGTTCATTCGCATCAAAGGAAGAGAGAGGTTCACGCCATTGCACTATGTAGCTGACGTGGGTGATGCCGAGCTTTTGGCTGATCTTCTAGTGGCTTGCCCAGAATCCATTCAAGATTTGACAATTCGAGGAGAAACTGCTATTCATATTGCTGTGAGAAATAATAATGTCAGAGCTTTACAGGTGCTTTTAGGTTGGCTCAAGAGAGCAAACATCAATGGACAGATCTTGAACTGGAAAAATGAGAATGGAGAGACAGCCTTGCATATTGCAGCCTCTACAAATAATTTCAAGGCAAGAAATCTTTGTCCTTGTTTTTTCTTTTATGTTGATTAAACAAATTAATCTTATGCAAATGTCTTTTGACCTTATTGCATATTCGTATTGCAAACGTCCGAACTTGGCGCATTTTGAAATTTGACTTAACATCCCGCCTAAGCTCTGCTAGTCTACTTAGCCCCTTTTTAAGCAATTTTCGTCCTCATTTTGGTGGCCAGTCTACTTAGCCCCTTTGTACTTGTAGTTTTGTAGCTTAAATGTACGTTGATGTCCCTAAAAGTATGTTATAATATTTGATAAGATCAAAATGCAAGTCGTCATACGCATTATATGTTTCGTAGAAGGGTTATATGCACGATATGTAAAAGCTTCCTGTATGCAATTTCTATACTAAGCTTCTGATCAGCAAATCTGCTGACTATTTTAATCTTGGTCATTTCTTCAGGTTGTAAAGCTCTTGATCAATGAAGTGAGAATAAATGAACAAAACTTAGAAGGATTAACATGCCTCGATGCTTTTATGGGACTCGCAACCACAAGAGATGAGAGAATTGCTAAAGCTTTACGCGGAGCAGGTGCTAAGAGATCTTTATCACTACGTCCCGTTGAAACTTTAGCCGATTTTTTGAGTTCAAGGGAATCATTCACCAGAAAAGTTTTCAGACAAATGATTGAATTTGATGCTAGTATAGATGGTTTGTCAAGTGACATGCGAAATGCCCTCCTTGTGGTAGCTGTACTATTTGTGACAGCTACCTATCAAGCTGTACTAAGCCCTCCAGGTGGAACATCATCAGGAGGTGATAGCAATTCACATTCCGACAACCCTTTCTATGCACCTCATCAAGGGGGAAAAACAGACACCAGAGGAACAGCACAAATGGCCATGTCTGATTTCTCAATTATTGTTTACTTGAACACAGTAATCTTTGCAGCTTCCCTTCGAATTATCTTCCGTCTGCTCCCCAGAACCCTTTATTATTATATGGTATGTGTCGGAACAGCTCTATCACTTAGCTATATGTATTCAATAGTCCTCATAGCACCAACTTCAATTCCTATTCTGGCATATCCTGTGTTCTATTTCTTGACGGGATGTTCTGTAATTATTTCCATGACTCTCGCTCTTTCTTCATTCCAAGCTTCATATCAGCGTATGACGGAATTCCTATAGACGTGCCCAGCTAAAAAAAAAATTTTAAACCGTAAAGCCCATATCAAGTTACTACTTTGTAGTGATCATCTACAATTTTGAACATTCTACATCTTGAACTTTTACTGGCTAAGAATACATACATGACCATGTTGCAAATTATCCCACTTCCAACAGCGTTCAAGATTGTTCAGATATGCCAACTTTTCCTACAAATTTTGTTAGATTATGTTTGGTATCAAAATAATTTAGTTATTAGAAGAATAGGGATATTTGTTAACCAAATATCATGTTGGTTTGTTAACAAATATTTCAGCTAAGATTTGTTAGTAGAAAAAAGTAATATTTTGTTGAGATTTTTAGGATAATTGTTAGTTAGATATTTTGCTAGTTTATTTCATGTAATCACTATAAATAATGAGTTGATAAATGAATAACATAAACTTATTTTCAACTTCAATACAAGTCCCTTATAAATTTTTTTTGCAACATTAAAGTGTTGTTTCTTCATTTATGTCTCAAAAAACCGACAAAGATCTTTACATTGTTACCATGTAGTTTTGAAATCAATGTTGTAGCCAGGCTGACAAGTGCACTAGCTGCGCTGGAATGGCAAGAATCACATTTGAAAGGGCCGACTCTACCCTGAACCAATGGGCAATAATGCATGTATGTTATCCTTAAAGGCTGCAACGCAATAGGTGCCAGGACTTTTGGAGATGGTACTAGAGTAAGTACAAGAGGTAGATGGTCATTTGGTCAAACAATTTGGCATCTGAGATGGATGTAATCTTCCACAGTGGTATTCTTCTGGACTGAGAAATCTTTTAGCAATCATCTTGCTGCTGTCTGACTAAAAAATGAATATTTAATTTACTAACTTTTTGAAACTCCCACCAACCCAAAGAAAACTAAAGCCTTATTTGGATTGCTGGTTTTGTTGACAAAAATATTTTTAAAGAATATTTGCTTAATACATTTTTCAACAATTTTTTTACCTCCAATACAATACGTTTTGAAAAAGTAATACAACGTTATTTTTTTATACAAAGTTTGCAAAAAATGAAATCCAAATGGGCTCTAAGCATCAGGGGTATGATAAAAGAAAAACTCAAAAGTCAGAAGAGATTCAAGTGTAATATAAGAATTCCTTCTAATTCATAATTTGAGAGTAATTAACCATTCATCTTTCTTTAGTTAAAATGCAGAGATGAGATACACCATATGATTAATAGAAAGAAAGAAATATAGAGAATGCATGCGTTTGAAATGATGCATCGAAGAATATAGAAATCACCAGTAAGAAAACACACACACACATCATACATCCGATCATTAGTTGTATACATAAAGTGTTATAGTCCTTGTGATTTACGTGTCATAATATTATGAGTATACAATCATTTGGATAAAATATGAAAGTATCCTTCATTATCTGTTAGATTTTGAGCTATAAATCATGTAGAAGCTTGAAAACAAAAAAGTTCTAAATACATTAGATCTTTGACTTCGAATTATATTAAGTTTTTTTTTTTAAAAAGGTTAGTTAATGAAAAGAAAAATCACACTAATATTATGTTATGATGTTGACAATCAAAATATTACTAATAGTTTAACTATTAAAAGGGTTTTATTTTGGAATGACATAATCAGGTTCTTAGCACTAGGATATTGTAGAAACCCAAAAATTCATCAAAAATATATAGGAGATACATTTCATCAACTCCATGTATGTGGGGAAGGCAATTTATACACATAAGAACATGTGCGGGAGAAGAAGAATAAATATCAACAATAATATATTAATTGCACACCATAAGAACAAGTCTATGAAATTTTACTCTTCTCAACTGATACAATAATAAGACTCTATTTATAAACCTTGATGACTTGGTAAACAAGTCTTACAATCATAAAAAATTTCCTAATAAATTACCAATATCTAAATACTAAAACTACTATAATTTGACTCCAATAAAGTTACTAAAAAATTAACTTGACTAAAACACTGCTAAATAATAATATAGAATTTTCTATTTTTAAGCGTTGATTTAATATGTCAATATTGTCTCCCTCAAATCAAGCTTTTTCTTGGATCTGATTTACTACCATCACAAACAATAATCTCCTTTGCAAAATATATCAATATCACTTTGTACTAGTTCTTCGTCTTCAAACACTTTTCTCATTACAATAATCCAGGCACCTGGACAGACAGCTTTCGTAGCACAATTCACTTTGTGATTTTCATAACCACAATTTAGCTAATGGGATGCTTCTCTAATCTTTGTTTTCACAACCACAATCAATTTGACAATTCTTCCATACCAATTTTATGGTCCAATTCACCAATTGGATACTCCATGACCAACTTTGTGGACTAAATCAATCAAATGACTTCTTCACAACAGTAATTCTTATACTCTAACTCTAACAGTGAAAAATATCCACAACTAATCTTGTAACCAAGACAATTTTTCAATATTCACAGGTACTCCAGGATCAATTTCTTGAATGTTGGGTTTTGATACCATATGTAGAACTCAAAAATTAACTAAAAACTTATCGGAGATATATTTCATAAACACCATATATGTGGGGAGTCAATTTACACACATAAGAATATGTGTGGGAGAAGATAACTAAATACCAACAATAATATATTAATCACACACAATAAGAACAAGTCTATCAAATTTCACTCTTTTCAACTGATATAATAATAAGACTTCATATTTATAAACCTAGGTGACTTGGCAAACAAGTCTTATAACTATAAGAAATTTTCTAATAAATTATCAATTCCTAAATACTAAAACCAGCATTACATGACCCCAATAAAGCTACTAAAAACTTGACATGACTAAAACACTGCTAAATAACAATACAGAAATTTTTATTTTTAAGTCTTGATTTAATATGCCTATAGATGTTACTACTTCCAAACAAAATACATTGTGCATTTCTCATTGATTATTCTCTCACATCTCTTTTAAGAAGTCACAATTGCTCCTCGATACACGTCAATTTAAGAATCAAATTAAGCGACACCCAAGTAACCCAAGTAATCAAAATTGCTGTGTTCTCCATGCACCCAAACAAATCCCCAGGGCCTGATGGTATGTCCCCTGTGTTTTTTCAAAAATTTTGGAATATTATCAAAGTTGATATTATTGATACTATCCAAGGATTTTTTCATTCTGGCTTCCTCTCCAAAGCTATCAATGAGACACTGGTCACTCTTATTCCTAAAATAGACAACCCCCTCAATCTTGCTCACTTTAGGCCTATCAGTCTGTGTAATATTTTTTACAAAATAATTTCCAAGATTTTGGTGAACAGACTCAAACCTCTTCTTAACTCTTGCATTAGTTACTCTCAGGCAGCCTTTGTTCCAAATAGGCAAATACTTGACAATGTCATGGTTGCTCACGAATATATGCACTGGCTGAAATCAAAAAGGAAGGGGAAGGAAGGGTACATGGCCATTAAGCTTGACCTTTCCAAAGCCTATGATAGAGTCGAGTGGAATTTCCTTTATGCCATTTTCTGTAAAATGGGATTTGCCCCTCTGTGGATTAGATGGATGCATAGCTGTCTTTCCTCTGTGTCCTATTCTTTCAATATTAATGGTGTGAAGCGAGGGTATGTTAACCTTTCTAGAGGAATTAGACAGGGAGATCCCCTTTCCCCGTACCTATTTCTGTTCTGTGCTGAAGGGCTTTCTAATCTCCTAAACAATGCTGTCAGTAACAAACAAATTTCAGGTGTCAAAATTGCCAGACAAGGTCCCAATGTATCCCATTTGTTTTTTGCTGACGACTCACTCATTTTTTGTAAAGCTAATGGTGATGAAGCAGGGCACATAAAAGAGATACTGGAATGCTATGGAATGGCCTCAGGACAACAAGTCAATATCAACAAATCAGCAGTCATCTTCAGTAAAAACACAGGCAGCAGGGAGAAGGAGGAGGTGCTACAGAAGTTAGGAGGAATCCAACAAGTTACACAAGGAAAGTACTTGGGCCTACCCCTAGTGGTTGGAAGATCGAAAAACAGCGTGTTCAAATTCATTAGAGAAAATTTGATGTCTAGGTTGCAGAACTGGAAGGGGAAATTGCTGAGTAATGCAGGGAAAGAGGTGCTACTCAAATCAGTTGCCACTGCTCTTCCATCCTATGCCATGTCCGTGTTCAGATTATCAAAGAGCCTGTGCAAAGAGCTAAGTGGTTTAATGGCCAGATTTTGGTGGGGAAATGATCAAGGGGAAACAAGAATGCATTGGAAGAAATGGGAGGATATTGCTGATAGGAAAGAAAATGGTGGTCTTGGATTTAGGGATCTGCTCTGTTTCAATGAAGCTTTGCTTGCCAAACAAGTTTAGCGACTTATTACCTGTCCCAACTTGTTAGTAAGTAAAGTCATGAAAAACAGATATTTCCCTAATTCCAATATCTTTCAATCCAAAGTAAAAGCTGGAGCATCATGGATTTGGCAAAGTTTGCATAGCTCTATAAAGTTGCTTGAAAGTGGAATCTGGAAGCAAGTTGGGGATGGATCAACAGTGGAAATATGGGAAGACAGATGGTTAGATATTTCAAAAAATGGAAGAATCTCCTCCCCAAAACCAAATGGCTACCAACTAACCAAAGTTAGCAGTTTGATCAAGGGGAGGAAATGGAAAAATGACATCATTTAAGGACTGTTTTCAAAGGAAGAGGCAGAGGCAATTATGGCTATTCCCCTCAGCGTATTCCAAAAGAAGGACAGATTCAAATGGAGATTTACAGATAATGGTTGCTATTCTTCTAAATCTGGGTATGCTAAGGCCAAAGAGAGATTCAAAGAGAGCAGTGAGAAGAATAAGGCGAAGGTAAACTCCAGTACAAACAAGGAAAGATCCAAGGTCTGGAATCAACTTTGGGGTCTGAATATCAAACATAAAATTAAACATTTCTTGTGGAAATGTCTTCATTGTATCCTCCCAACCAATGAGGAAATTTTTAGAAGGACAGGCAAGG